CACACCCACACCCACACCCTCACACCCACACCCACACCCTCACACCCACACCCACACCCTCACACCCTAACATAACTGAATAAATCTATATATTATATTTATTGAAATAAATTATTTATGATCATATTCATATGATATTAATAATGTCCATAAATGGTGTGGGTGTGTGGAGTGTTGGTGTGAGCGTAGTTATTATCTTCACACCCACACCCCCACCCAGACACCCACCCACATACCCACCCGCACCCTAGCCACACCCACACTCAGCCACACAGCCACACTCACATCCACACTCACAGTCACATCTGTGCCCATAATGCAGGTTTTCAATAAACAAAAAAAAAGCATTAAATAGTAATGACCTGTGTCGCATTGCGAGTGTAACTTTGTTAGAACGGTGAAGTGCGCCTCATTCAATCGAATGTAAATGTTATCACTCTTTTTCATTGAATTTTTGAATTTGACAAAACTTTTCTATATGAAATGTAAAGGTTTCAATTCAATCAAACAATGCAACCTATAGTACATTATTTTCAGACATTGCAGCTTGCATGATTAATTAAAGAGTAAGCAATAGTCTCGTCTGTGTCATTGACGAGGTTTCCTCCACTATATTAGTCTTCACTATGTTACTTCACTTTAGTCATTTGAATAGAGAAATAGTGAACAAGAGGCAACAGCACAATACCACTGAATCTGTTTCTTCATATAGCATTATAATACATCACGACACTTTTAAGAGACATATTTTAAAGCGCTCAAATGATTCATATTGCAAGCAAAACCTTGTTTCCAAAGCAATTCCAGGTATTTATAATTTTCAGTGTATTATTGAAATCATAATGAGATTGTTCCGGAAATCACGTATATTTTCGAAAAATAATATTAAGTACAAATTTTTGCGACTATCCTCTCCTCATTACAGACCTCAGAAAGTAAGCAAAAAACGCTTCAAATATGTTTAACAACAAAAAACCTAGTTGAAGAGTATGAAGAATATGATTTCGACTGCTATACAATATTTCAATACGTTCATAATTATTCGAAAAAAATGCTTGTTACTGCAGCTCATGCTAGTGTGGGTGTGAGTGTCGGTATCACTGAAGAAAAGACAACAGCGACACCCACACCCACCCACAGCCACCCCATACTCCACACACCCACACCCACACCCCACACCCCACACCCATGCCCACGTCCCACAATCACACTCACACCTACCCACACCTACCCACACCCACATCCACATCCAAACGTACATCCCACATCCTCACTCACACACCCACCCACACCCTCTCTCACACACCCACCCACACCCTCACTCACACACCCACCTACACCCTCACTTACACACCCACCCACTCCCTCACTCACACCCCCACCCTCACTCACACACCCACCCACACCCTCACTCACACCCCCACCCTCACTCACACTCACGTCCCACAATCACACTCACACCCACCCACGTCCCACAATCACACTCACACCCACCCAC